TATGCCCCTGTGATACTTGCATATTAACACATTTTGCAATGTCTGGATTGCAAAATTTATATGTTAGGGACATATATTGCTCCAAAGATATATTGTCCAGTTCATTATTTTTTTCAAGTACCTCAACCCTTTGTCGTAAATATTTGTTTTCGGCAGTTATGGACTTGATATGCTGCCTGTATTTAACTTTTCTTGGTGTATCGAAGGATAAACTGGCTGACGTTTGGGTAAATGTTGGAGACGTCAGAGGAGGACTGTCTGTAATTGGACTCAGGGCGATCTCATGTTGAACCTCGATTTTGAGCTCGGTTTCAACTAGATTTGTCTGGTTAGCTGCAAAAATACATTTTATTTAAACTTTAAATAACAACTTAGATGAATAAGTATAAAGAACGATTTATTTGCTTAAAAATGATTTTTTTTTATTTAGGGTGGATCAAAAGCTATAACAAAATTTTACAGCTAAAGATAATCATGTGATTATTAGCTTGTTTTAAAAAGTTAAAAAATAAAAAAGTTGTAGTCTTTTAAAAGTGGAACAAATTAGGTTCACCCCTCGCTTCACCCTGTATATAAAACATTATATTTAATTTTAAGTAAAACACTATTATTTTTAGTACCTGAATCAAATAGTGCAGGTGTGATAGGTGGAGCTATCAGTCTGTCATCTAGAACTCGTATTTTCGCAGGAAGTTGCAAGAGCGGTGCACTATACGTATGGTCTTCAGTTGTGAAACTCCCCTCGAGGGACGGGAATAGGGTAGGAATTGCAATGGCTACTAATCTTGTACGAAAGTGACTCGTGAACATGTTCTCTTCAAAGTGGTCTTCACATATCGAGTAACTTTTATATAATTCGATTAGTTTTTCAAATAGGTCCTCTCGATTGGCTTTCATTGCCCATGTTCTGGCTCTGTAAATATTTAAATATATTTTTAAACAATGCTATATAGGTATTGTAAACGCCAAATCTGAAGAACCAGCGCAAATGCTCAAGTTCGTTTACTTAAAAATCGCCACGCCCATTCACAATTTGATCCTTGTCCTTGCTTACGGTCAGTAGCGTAACGACTAGAACATTGTTTGTTTCTTGTTTCTGTGTTTTGGTCAAAGTGACTGGTTTTATTTTTAATAATGTCTTCTATTGTGGGTGAAAAAAAGCGCAGATTTGTTATTAACGGACAAAGTCGTGAAGAAATATACAATGTTTTTAAATATTTTGACGCAACAAAAAAGGAAGGAGTTACTTTAGATGATATCAAACTTTAAACTGCACAAACAACAGGTAAACATACCCTGTAGTTTATTTGGAATTAAACTTGTGTAGTTTTCCATATTTTTTTGTATTTTACACACATATCTGTGCATTTTAATATTTTATATTTAAATTTTTTAAATTTATCTTCTGTTTCTAAAAAAATTTGTTTCCTAATAAATGTAAAAAAAATACTAAATTTAACATTAATATAATATTACGGTCTTTACTTGATGCAAATCCATATTATTAAAAAGAGAAAAACCAAACATGGTAGATTTTCACATTTTTATTTAAAGAAATAAAAATTAAAAATTGCACGACAATTGTTTCTAAGTACAACTTCTTCTTCAAATGTAACTCATTTACATTTCTAATATATATCCAAAATAAATAAAATAAAATAGTTAAAGTAGGTACTTAAGAGAAATATATTAATAAATGCCATTAAAATATCATTACCGGGATTATCTCATAGAAAACTAAGAACAGGTAAAGAGATTTAATTAGGCTACTTATTAATATCTAATTGATCACTTAAGAGGATATTTAAATTTTTAAATCAATTTATTTCAAGTGTTTCTAAATGGTTTAATTTAATGCCTTTATTCTCAAAATGTGAAACAATTTTTGCATAAACGATTGATTTTCAGAAAAAAATATGTTTTGTAGAATTATTTTTGTTTTTAGTATAACTATTGTAATGTTTTAAATAGCTTTTTTTTAAACTACGGCCCATTTGACCAATATACAATTTTTCCACAATTTAATTTATTTGAAAAAGGATAATTTCCTGACCGTAACAGAATTTTATATAAATACCGAACGGCAAGCGGTAGAACAGCCTTAACCTAAAGTCGGTTTACCTAAAAATAATGATTTTTTTAATTGACTATAGAATTATGTACTAATAATAACACTAAGCAATATGTATGAACAAGTATTATTTACTATTTTCCATTTATTTTATGTCTTAAAATATACGGACCTCTGGTTTACAACTTTCTAGGTAAGCTACCAATTCTATTCATCCGTAGGCGTGTTAGTAGCATTATAAATGCGCATCCTTGGTTCTTTAGATCTGGCACATACTGTATCTATTTGCTTCCAATTAATATTTGTTGATATACATATTTTATTATTTCGATTTGCAAAAATATTAAACAAAACCACCAATAAACCCTCTTTTACCTTAACAAGTATTAAATTAATAACTACTTAGGTATATATTTATACAGGCCAAACATAGCTTCTCATAATTAAAGAAGATTTTGTATGACTTTAAATTACTTTTACTACAACATATCGTGTAGGTAAGTACTTACCGGTTAGCATCCTTAGGAAAACAATAGAATTTCTTCTTACAATTATAACCTTTATTAAAACAATTTCGCACTGCACAAACATGATGATGTCCTGATAGTTTTTTGTCACTCATTTTACTACAGTAAAAAATAAACATAAAACACAAATATTCAAAAGAATTACAAATTAAACACAAAAATATACGCACGGCAATGTCCGCTTAACGTAGAATAAGTAATACTGATCTCCCGACTGCACGGCAAAGACATCTTTTCCCCGAAAAGGCGGAGCATAAAACCTGCGCGAAGGGATCGACGCAAACCGTTCCCGCCAAGAGAGTGTTCTAGCTGGATATAAATAAGCTGTGGTATTAATATGTGGGTAATGCACAGTTTTTCAACGTAGGGACCCGAAAATAACCAAACACATCCCGATCAGCACGGCTTCCACAATTAACCACAAGGCAGGCTACAGGCATTTATTTCAAAATTAAACTAAATTTACACTATTTATTAAAAAAACTAATCGAAATTATACCTAAATCACTTCAAAAGATTCCAAAATGTTCGATTTACAAAAGTAAACAATACTGACGTTCAGTTTGTGTGCCAACCAAGCGCCATATTGAATTTATTTGACAGGTCGTTGGATTGCCTAATATAACGATTTAACCCAACTTATTTTAGTCCAAAAGTGGATTATTTCGGAAATACAGAGTGTTAAAAGTTTAATTTAGTTTTTCGTAAATAATTTTTGTAATAATAGGTGTATTTTCAAAATGTTTGGCTAGGGGGGTTTGTGGGGTGAAAAATTTAAAGCTGCTCTCATTTTTATTGTAAAATTTAAAGGAAGCCTTTTTATAAATCCAGATATCTCAAAAACGGCTGCTCAAATCTATTCTTATCATTATTTATACTTTGCAGAATAAGAATTTTTATAAATACAGAGTGGCTTAAAAAAGTAATCGTTTTAAATGTGTGTAAGGTACCGCAGGTAGCGCCCTTTAAATTTTACAATAAAAATGAAAGCAGTTGTAATTTTTGTATTCTACACTGCGCAGTTTTGTAGTTTTTTTTAATATTGGTTAGAAAAACAACACATAAATAAGAGTATCTTTATTTTATAAATTTGCTATAATATTTTAATTATTAATAATAACGTTTAAAGACAAAGTACATCTTTACATTTACATTGAAACAAACAAAAAACAAAGTACTCAATATGTTAATGAAGATTTATTGGGTTTTTAGCAGCCACCTCATTTTTTTGTGCCTTTATCAATTTTTTCAGCTTTTTGTCTATGATATGATGCATTTTCCATCATATCATTAGGAAACTTTTTAAAAAAAGTAGAAAACCAATTCTAAAATACTTCGGATTTCGTCTCTTCAAAGTAAATGCATTTTCTACACGTAAAATATTAAGGCGCCTTCCCTTTCTTGTAAGGCTTTTCAGGCCCGTGGATAAACCTTACTATGACCTTCATCTAAGTAAAAATCTGATGTGTCCAACACATGACTTTCCTATCTAATTATTATAGTCTTTTTCCGATTATTTTGTACAATCTATTGCAGTACCTCTTTAAATGTTTAGGATAAAAGAAATATATACATTTTCCACATACATCTAACTCGAAACATTTTTCTACAGATATTCATTGGAAACGAAAATACTGAAAAATTTAAATTTAGCACTTTTCCTGCAATTTTTCCATTACGGTATATTTTAGAAAAATTATGTTAAAAACAAAAATTATAGAAATCGATATCGCAAACAACTTTTAGTTAACAATTTTCTTATAAATAATATTAAAAGTAACTTTTATTTGAACAATTTTCTTCTCCAAACATAAATAACAGACTTCCTATAAAGTACCCCGGATGTTCCGATTTTGTCCAATATCTAATCATTTCACTTCGGGCCGAAATAAAATTTAATGTTTTTTCCTATATCCGTTTTTTAGTTTTCTTCAAAATTCAAAATTTACACATTTTCTCAAATATCTCGAATACAGTCCATTTTAGAGAAATTATGTATAAGATAAAAATTATAGAGAATTATATTACAAACAACTTTTATTTAACTAATTTTTATAAAAAATATTTTTTTTACATTTTGTTAAATTTCTCGAAAATACAATTTATGAAAATTTTGTATATTACAGAAATTATAGACAACAATATTCTAAGTAACTTTTATTTGAAGAAATTTTTTTTGTAACCGTAAATAAATATATTCGATAAAATATAAAAATCTTTAGATAAAGATAAAGACTATACCCTAGATATTACATATATATTATCTAATCAAAATCGGCATACAAAATTAATTATTTTTTAATTCAAGTGCGTTTTATTTTTATAAAACGCGCTTGAATTAAAATCCCCTTTATTTTAATTAAAATTTCAAAATAAACCACAAAAATTTGAGATTAGATATTCTAGGAGATATTCCTTATATTTTAATATAATTTGATTTATTTTTCGAGTGGGTCTTTTATAAAGTATTTAAGTGAGAAAAATATTTCAAATCAACAGTTCATTTTGTTGTTCTACTAAGGTAAGGCTAAAATAATTAACATTATAGAATTTATTAATATGCTAAATTAGGTACCCAGAGTTATTTATTTATCCAATAGTTATATATTTTTCTTAATTTTGTTCATAAATATTTTATAAATAAAAAATTAACTCGTAAACTCGTTAACTAACGCAAAAAGTCACTAAAGGTTTTACGATAACGTCCGAATGAATGCTATAAAAAGTCATTAGCTAAAAATATAATAATAATATTAATTGACTTTGTTAAAAATGCACTTTTTAACAAGAAAAAGTAATCAACCTGTATATTAGAGTTGCTTTGGTAACAGTCATAACGATTATTATTTATTTTGTCCACGACCACTTAATAATAAATCAATATTCTACCTCCTAACTAAGAGCATATATAGTACCCATGTTGTATGAAGATATTATTATAGTAGGATAACCTTATTGCAATATCATTAAAGGATATAGAATGTAGATGGCGTCCCTGTACTTTTATCCAAGTCAGATCTCTAGGTCATGTCTGTGCTTGAGTATGAATTATAATTTAAAATCTTCTTTTTCATTTCTACTTGTCTTCGGTAATGTATTTTTATAGTTACAATTTACTATTGCAAATTATTACAAAAGGGCATTTGAAGGTCACATAAAATGCCAAAATGATCAATATAATACAATAAACCAGTTTTCGTTTGGAAAAGATTGAATAAGTTGAGATTGGGTGGAATTTTACTATAATAGGGAACATTTTTTTCTATATTGTGGTTGGATTTTGGATTGATCGCTGATTGTTAATTAAAATTTGAGTTTTACTCAGTGATTTTTATTCACTTTTATATAATGGTATCAAATTAAGAATAGGACATGAACAACTGAAGATTATTGTTCAAAATGAGACGAATAGATAAAAATAAAAAATGCTTGGATAAAATGTTCTGAAATACAGGATGTCAAGTTGAAAATTAAAAAAATAATAATGGGTAAATATATAGGTAGTTATAATTTTATTATTCAATATAATTTTACTAAAATCAGCACTGATAAAATTTAACTAACAGATTTTTTTGCTGTTAGGTAAACTTACAACATAATACCAAACACGTTTAGTGAAATTATACTAAGTATAATAAAAACATGTAAGCCACTAATTTTCAGTTTTTAACTTTTAACACCATTTGAAAACGAATCGAGTACTAATTTATGGTAGCGGAATCAGTAGCACATTTAGGAGTATTATTTTCGAAAGGCAAAATTAAAAATTAAAAATTTTTTTGTACATGGAAATACTTTGCTGCATGCCCTACAGTGATGAAGCGCTCAACGAAGCGTCTTAAAAAATAAATTATATATAGAAAATGCGAATGTTACATATTTGATAATTAATATTGACATAAACCTTCATTGCTCAGGACGTTAAGTGTTCAACTTTGAATTTCGTGAAGTTCGGTTACCGACTACTACTATTTTTTGCTGAATTGTCAAAATACAAAAAATTTAGCAGAAAGATTACATTAATTATATTTTTCATATTTTTTCCAAAATAAAAAATCTGATGTGTCCAACACATGACTTTCCTATCTAGTTATTATAGGCTTTTTTCCGGTTATTTTGTACAACCTATTGCAGCACCTCTATAAATGTTTAGAGGATAAACTAAATATATACATTTTCCACCTACATCTACTTCGAAACATTTTCCTATAGATATTCATTGAAAACGATTATACTGAAAATTTAAATTTAGCACTTTTCCTACAATTTTTCCATTACGGTCCATTTTAGAAAAATCATGTAAAAACAAAAATTATAGATATCGATATCGCAAACAACTTTTAGTTTAACAATTTTCATAAAAATCAGAATGTTGCACATTTTGTCAAATTTCTCGAATACGGACCATTTCAGGAAAATTTTGTTTAGAACAAAAACTATAGATAATAATATAAGAAGTAACTTTTATTTAAATAATTTTTTCCCCAAACGTAAGTTACACATATATTCCATAAAATATAAAAATGACCACCTATAAAGTACCCCCCCAGATGTTCCGACTCTGTCCAAAATCTAATCAGTTCATTGGACGCTGGAACAAAGCTTAAGCAAATTTGGTGTTTTTCTGTGGATTGGTTCATGAGTTATGGTGGATACAGAGACACACACACACACACACACACACACACACACACACACACACACACACACACGCACACACGCGCACACACACACAAGTCTTGAAGGCACTTATATCAAGTTAATTATCTAATCAAATGTGTGGCGTGGCTTTTTAAAATACCATCATTGTGCGCTCCACTGCTGGTGTGTCCATCTTCTACAAGAGAAAAAAGAAGGAAACATTTGTAAAGTTGCTTGGCACAAATTTGTACAAAAAAAGGGCAACTGGCTCTCGTAAGCCTTTTTCGTTTAATCGTCTCATTATTTGAACACTATGCGCCAGCATGGGAAATATATGTTAAATTTAGTTTTAAGAACTTTTAACATTCAAATAAAAACAATTTATAATTTTATTATTAAAATCAGTGTTGGAACAAAACATAAAATTGTTGAATTTGAAAGATAATATTCTAAAAATGGAAAGGGCTTCGGTCGATAGCCTATTGGACTGAATATTCAGTTCAATCAATGACAATTATTAATATAACTATTCTTAAATATTAGTCCAGGATAGTTAGGAAAAATAGCGGAAATTTTTATGGACTGCAGATATCGAGATGCGGTTTTCTGCATTGTATTCAGGAAGGTCCCAAGAAAAAGTTGCTCGTATTTTTTACATTTTTAAATAAAAATTATCATATTTTTATTTTAATAACTACGATATAAATTTGAATTATAAAAAATTATGATAAAAATATTTTAGGTTAAGGGCCGATCTTTTCACCTCTGAGTAAAGTAACATGTAGATTTACTTGACACATTAACAAAAAATAGCCATATAGTTTAATCAGCAAGTAGTTGCTTTTTACTTTACTTTACTCAGATGTGAAAAGACTGGCCCTTAGTGTAATAGGTACAGTTTTTAATAAAGCCTTTAATAATCATAATGGTACATGCATAAATGAACTAAAAAAAAAAATACCTTACCTTTCTCCATTTATATATTATTTTTTAACTTGTCTTTATTTATAAAACAATGTTCGGTACTAATCGTTTAATTTTTTTTTATTCACAGAAAAACCAAAAAATGAAAATTTTCTTTGTTTTCGCAACAGTCCTTTTGGCAGTCAGTGCCTTGCCAGCTCAAGAACAGTGGACCTCGTTTAAGGTAATTTTTCACATCATAAGTAATTTTGTAAAATTTTCAAAATTTTTCAAAATGTAGGTAGATCAACAACAATTCTCGAATTATACTATTATTTATTGATTAGATGGAGTAGAAAAAAACTAATAATAAGGTTTTTGAAATATTTAGGTTTTGTTTTTTACAATAAAATATATAGGTTACCGTGGAATTTATTGAGAAATTAATATTAAAAAAAATTCAAGTAACCTTGTTGAAAATTTTCTGTTATTTTTTAATATTAATTTCTCAATAAATTCCACGGTAACCTATATATTTTATTGTAAAAAACAAAACCTAAATATTTCAAAAACCTTATTTTTAGTTTTTTTTTACTCTGTCTAATCAATAAATAATATTATACTTAATTATAATTCGAAAATTGTTGTTGAAATCTTACTTTCTCGTAAGACACTGTACAAATACTCACATTTTAAAAAAAAAATTCTCAAACATTTGCACGGTAAGGTATAGTTAAAAGTTCACTATTAGATAAATAAGGAAAAAAATTAATTTTAATCATAATCTAATATTTTTTATTTAACATTGGTGGCGAAAGGACCTCCTTAAGAGATGCTGTGCTGATTTTAGAGAAGGTTCAATTTTAAAGTTATTATGTTGTACTCTGGTCAGACCTTACCTTGAATATGAATCATGTGTTTGGTCTCCTTAGTATAACGTTCAAATTAATAAAATTGAGCAAGTTCAACATAAATTTTAGAAATGTTATTACACGATCACAGCTATGATTTCAGAGATATTCTGCTTCTATATGTATAACTTGATTAATGGTCACAAATCCTACTCTTTTCTCTTAAGCCTAATTGGTCTACACAGGGCCGCCGAGAGACAGTACGGACTCCGGGACAATTTTCCAGGTCGGGCCCCGCGACTATTTTATAAAAAAAATTAAGCCCTTTCAGTATCGCATTTCTAGAAAACAAAACAGCAAAAGTCTTCAAGCAAAAACTCTTCTTTAGTGAAATATTTAAAAAAAATTCTTCAAGCACAAACAAAACTTCTCCTCTTTAGTGAAATCTCTATAAAAAAAGGTCTTCGAACAAAAACTTCTACTCTTTAGTAAAATCTCTATAAAAAAACAAAAGTCCTCTCTTTTCTGTTCTTGTGAGCCGAGCCCCGGGAAGTTGTTCCGGCTACCCCCTCTCATCGGCCCTGGGTCTACATGTACCTCCGCGATATACTTGATCAATCAAAACCTTTGAGGAAGTTGCCCATAGAACAAACTATAGACCATTCCATTCTGTCCAGAACAATTAAAATGTCAAACGATATTCCATTCTGTCCAGAAAATGTCAAACGATATTGCGCAAGACTTAGAATTTTTTGTAGCTATATCAAGCTAGCAGGCACTCTGTGGCGGCACCATTCAAGACCTGGCGGGTTTTTTGTAGCTTTTTGTTACACTATTTGCAAATTTGTAGCTTAGCCCAGGTCCGAAAAAACAGCGGATCCGCTAGCTTGAATTTCCATAAATTCCATAGTAGCGGCACAGATTCAGACCCAGCTGGTTTTTTGTAACTTTTTTGTTACGCTAGTCTCCCTTTTGTAGCTTGTACTGAACCTGAGAAAAGCGCGGATCCGCTAGCTTAGCGGATATTTGTAGCGGCACCAGCCCGGACCCGGCTCATTTTTTGTAACTTTTTTTGTAGCTTTTTTGTTACGCCTGTCTCGATTTCGTTGCGAGGCCTGAACGTGAGTAATAATCGTTTCTCCATGAGCGTGAGAGAAAAGTGCGTTAATTTAAAATCAAGTTTCGGCCTCTACAAGTAATATGTGCAACTCGATAGTGTGACTATCTGTTGCTAGATGGCACCAGTATTGCATTTCACGAATTATGGCCATCTTCCATCCAATATATTTTTGAGAAATTTAGATATAATCTCAAAATCGGACATTTTCAACGGTATGTATATTATTTGTCCGATATTAATGTAAAATACATATTGACAGGATTATTAAAATAGTTGTATGCCGGACGCCACTATTTTCCGATCGGGTGTTTTCGGTTATTTTGACTGCTAAAAACTTACTGCTAACTTCACACCGGTGGTAATAGCTACCAAGCAATAACCTATTCTCACTATGTACAGGGTGTTCCATCTCAGACGAGCCACCCCGTATAGTTTGTTACGTTTCATTAATAAACGTTTTATAAAAACAAAATGTTACGTTTCAAAGATATATTAATAAAACATATTTTCCATCACGATAAATTTCTACCCCTTACCTGGGTCTCATTGTAAAAATCCTTATAATAAGAATTCTTACAAGCCTCAGGCCTAGCTCAGATCAAAATAGGTCAGTGGGATTCGTTTAGAATTTACCTTCAAGTCAATGACAAAGTCTTTAATTAAAAAGACTTAAAAGAATTCAATTAAATTAATTTGGGCGCCATACTTTCAGATGTACAATAAAAGCAAATTTGTCATTAACTTGTCAGTTGAAAGTAAGAAAAAAAAATTAATCGGCTTTAATTTAAATTTCGAATTTGACTGATGACTGATTACATAATATAAAAGAAAATTAAATTAATTGATTTTAACACATTTTACGGTTTACGTTCTACTAATGATGAGTTTAAAATAAAAATTGACTAGTGACTCAAAAATTGTGTGTGTGGTCCTGGCCGACACTTATCTTGTGTTTCCGGATTTAACGGTCGAACTGGTCTGGTCCGTGTCGTAATGGTAGGTGAGCGGTGAGCCTACGATGACTTCAAAACACTGCAGTTCCTTACGCAACTCAGCCCAAGATATTCCGCAGCTCTAGTGGCAACTAGCTGACAATGATTCTGCAGTTCCAGATTACAAAAAACAATTCCTTAGTTTGTTACAGATCCAGATCCTTAGTTTGTTACAGATCCAGAGCCAGTTCCTTAATTTTAAGAAAGAAAAAACGTGTCAGTTACAACAAAAAAAACCGTATCTTTCCATTGCTTCAAAAAAAAAACAACACGTGGTCAGCAATAAATCTTACAATTTAAATTAAACATTCTTAAATTAAACATTTCAAATTTTACAACAATATTAGAGAGTTGCAATAGTATTTAATTTAAAACACATGAAGAATGGAAAGATCTTTCAAAATAACTGAGAAGAAAAAATATAAAATTAATGGCAGCCATTTTGTACATTTTGGAATTTATATAACGCGAAAAGCTCACTATAAATAAAAGAGATAACTCAAAGATAATTTCAGCAGAATATGCACACAATAAAATTAATTTCTACTTTTCATTATAAAAAAAAAAATTCGAGATTACCTTAGTTATTCGGACACACAAAGCACTAAAATCAACCTGTCTATTTCGCAGCCAAATTGAAAAGAAATTTCAAAAGCCAACAGCTGACCGAAGGTGTGTAAAACGTGAATATTCCCCATCCATAAGTAAGCCAGGCGTGCGCACGACATCTGACCGTAATTATTGATTTTTAGAGAAAGCGCATCATTGGTAGAATGTCCCAGAGAGAGACAAATTCCCGTTTCAACATAATATCTATATTTCCAAATACGAGGGGCGCTCAAAAAGTATTAGAATATATTGGAATATTTGAACTAATTAAATATTGTAATTATTAAAAGGGAGTGACGATTACAACGTAACAAGTTCTTATCCCATAGTAATTGGAAAAATTTCCCGAAACACTTCTGATGATTTTCTTTGGGGGACATCTTTTGACGTATATTTGAGGCTTGAACGAGCAACCCCCTATAAGGGGGCGCTTCAAACCCTCAAAATTGAATAGGGAAGAGGGGTTGGTGATACTTCATTTGTAAGGTCCTGAAAGCCTCTTTACAACGGTGTATGAAAAAAAATCACATTCTTAAAAAAATCAATTGTTTTATCATACTTACAATCAAAAAATCAAAACTGCGTTTTTAAATGAAATGTTCAATTTGTCTTTCATTGACTTCCATGCTATAATAAATTCTCTCGAACTAATAAATAAAAAAAAAATCAAAACATTTTCTTATCTTGCCTTCATTTTTTGCTCTTAGAAGGTGTTTATCAGGTTTCTTCGATCATTTGATGTGATAAAACAATTATTTTTTTTAAGAATGTGATTTTTTTCATACACCGTTGTAAAGAGGCTTTACCTTTACCTTACAAATGATGTATCACTCAACCCTTCTTCCCTATTCTATTTTGAGGGGTTGAAGCGCCCCCTCATAGGGGGTTTCTGGTTCATGCCTCAAATATACGTCAAAAGATGTCCCCTAAAGAAAATCATCCGCCGTGTTTCGGGAAATTTTTCCAATTACTATGGGATAAGAAATATACAGGGTGGCTCGTCTAAGATGGAACACTGTTAGTTGTGATCCGACAGAATTAAACACTGGTCCATAAATACTGCAAAACGATTGGTTTAAGGAAATCATTAAAAAAAGATGTAAGAATATTCTTGATTTAACAAAAGTATAAATACATAGACAACACTAAAAAACATTTAAAAACAAATGTCCGATTTTGAGATTATACCTAAATTTTTCAAAAATATATTGGGTGGAAGATGGCCATAATTCGTGAAATGCAATACTGGTGCCATCTATCAACAGATAGTCACAATATCGAGTTGCACATATTACTTGTAGAGGCCGAAACTTGATTTTAAATTAACGCACTTTTCTCTCACGCTCATGGAGAAACGATTATTACTCACGTTCAGGCCTCGCAACCAAATCGAGACAGGCGTAACAAAAAAGCTACAAAAAAAGTTACAAAAAATGAGCCGGGTCCGGGCTGGTGCCGCTACAAATATCCGCTAAGCTAGCGGATCCGCGCTTTTCTCAGGTTCAGTACAAGCTACAAAAGGGAGACTAGCGTAACAAAAAAGTTACAAAAAAGTTACGAAAAACCAGCTGGGTCTGAATCTGTGCCGCTACTATGGAAATTCAAGCTAGCGGATCCGCTGTTTTTTCGGACCTAGGCAAAGCTACAAATTCGCAAATAGCGTAACAAAAAA